TTAAGATTGAATGTCCAGCTCTAAAACCTGCTTGCTATTTTGTGAAAATGTTTTCTAATTTACCCAATCTGAGAGTTTATTGTATAAACCTACAATTTGCTTATTATGCTAAGGAGGCTAATGGGCTGGTAATTAGCAGGCAGATCCCAGTTGATTTTTTTATAGATTAGAACTATCAAAGCTAAACTCCACTCCTTTGGAATCAGTGCCTTGCTGTCTATAAATATGAATAAGGAGGCCAGAACAGGGTTATTGCCTGGGGCTTTGCTAGGATTAAGTTGTTTAACAAGAAATATTAATGCTGAGTCTGTTACAGGGACCACTGTGGGAGCAGACTTGTATCGAAGTCAAGCTCAACATGATCCTTCTGCAAATGTAATGCCTTAAAATGATCCAGTTTTAATAATATTTGTAGGTTAGCTTGCATTCAGTTGTTTTTAAAAATTGTAGGCAAGGCAAGGGTGTTACTAAATCAGGCAACAACTGGCTCTGATTATAGTTCTTGTCGCTCAAAGCAAGGGACAGGCCAGAGTCGGGAACCCTTATCCAAGTTCCTCCACTGAAATCCTGAAGGAGGATGCAGTGCTGGACTGACTTGGTGCCAATTATATCAGACCACCCATTCAATACAATACAATACTGCCAGCTGTGTGGGACCACTGCAAGTGCTGCTACTTCAGATTGCTGCTGTTCTCACAGCTGGTGAAGGTGTATCCCCAACTGACAGCCAGCTTAGCTTCTCCCTCCCATTGATCCTGGAGCAGGGCTACTCCATAGAGGCCGGTGCTAGTGGGCCCAGAGGAACATACATCCCAGGGAAACCACTGCTGCCTGTCAGTCAGAAATCCTTTCTCTAGAGGCAGTGCCTGCCTTCGCTTTAGGTTATCAGTTTAACAGCTAGTTCTTATGAACGGGACCCAAACATTTAGATAATTTCCTGATTATAGGGGATGCATGTGGTGTTTTATTTCCGCATACATACTCTACATATGTTAAAACTGTCCGTTCCATATTTCTGGTTTAGAAATGGTTTGTTCATATTCCAGGTAGGCAACCTATGGCCCTCAATAGTCTCTAGGGCAGTTTTTTGTGTTTTTTATCCATTATATGTCAGCAGCCTGCCAGTCAGTTAGCTAATTGTAAGGGAGCACTTATTTGACCCTCCTCCATCACCAAATTGTTGACTAGGGGGCTGCCTGCAGTATGCTAGTGTTATTGTATTATAGCATTAGCACACTATACCAGTAGAGTACTTTATTACTATCACATTATTGTGGGGAGGAAAAGCTGTACAGATGCACATGTACAATCTGCTCCCACTAACTTTTTAAAATTAGTTTTTGGTAAATTATAACAACCAACATATAATAAATAGAAAAATAATAATACAACAGCAAATATGCGGTCAAAAAAGAAATTAATGCATATCAGTGACTTAAATTAATTAAATCTACTCCAAAGAACCATCACTTTTTGGCCCCTTCACATTGTACCTCCTGGTGGGTGGGGGCCCTTAGCAGGCACTGCCTAGTTGTCTAGTTGACAGGCAGAATCTCTTGGGGAAAAATGATCCCTAAGATACCCTAAACTATATAGGGTTTTGTAGGTAGCAACCAGCACCTTGAATTGCATTTAGAAATTTACTGGTAACCAGTGCAGTTCCTGCAGCAGAAATGTGACATGGCAGTACTGTGACTGACCACTGAGCACTCATGCCACTGCATTCTGGACCAGCTGCCATTTCCAGATGGTCCTCAAGGGCAGCCACATGCATAGCAAATTGCAGTAATCTATTCAAAAGTTAGCAGGGGCATCTTGTTCCATTTAAGGCTGTAGCTGGCACACCAGCCAAAACTATGCAAACACCTTCCTGGCTGTGGCTTCCACCTGCTCTTTCTGAGGGAGCACGCATTTGTTTGTTTGTTTGTTTATTTGGCATATTTATATAGCTGCCCATCTCACACAGAGCAACTCTGGGCAGCATATAACAATTAAATAAAATTACAAGTGGATAAAAACAAGCATTATAAAAAGATAAAAAGTGATTAAAATAAAAACATTACCAATTTTTTTTTAAATTTAGATTTTAATATAAACAAACCCCACAGAGAAAGCAGAATATCAATTACAGTAGAACTATCTAAAAATATCTCTGGTTCCAAAGACCCCCCAGGCCTAATGACACAACCAGGTCTTGAGGGACTTCCTAAACAATAGCAGGGAAGGGGTGAGCCTCACTTCAGGATGGAGAATGATTCACAAGGAGGGAGCCACGGCAGAGAAGGCCCGTCTCCTGGGACCCACCAAATGCAGGTCCCTGGCCAATGGAACACGGAGCATACCTTCCCTGCCTGATCTACTGGGATGAGCTGATGTAATCAGGGAGAGGCGGTCCCTCAAATAACCTGGCCCCGTGCCAGGAAAAGCTTTAAAGGTCAAAACCAGCACCTTGAATTGGACCCAGAAGCAAACCAGCAGCCAATGCACCTTGCATAATATGTGCTCTTCTAGGAGCACACATAACTGCCCGCATTCTGCACCAGTTGAAGCTTCTGGATATTCTTCAAGGGCAGCCCCATGTAGAGCACATTACAGTAGTCCAATCTGGAGGTGACAGCTCCTGAAACAGCCACTCCATCTTGTTTGGACTGAGTTTCGTAAAAGATAAGCCAGAAAATGTATTAATTGACTTTTCAAACTGCAAATTTTCATTGTTGGTTTCAGATGCTGGATGTTACAGAAATTTGATGGTCTCTGATTTCATCTTTTAAGTGCGCCTATAGAATCCTAAGCTTATGTGTTTACAGATCAAGTGGAGGTGCCTAATGTAATGGAGAAAAAACATTGCAGATACTTAATTGTCTAAAAGCAAAGCAGACATTAAATTAAAGTGTATCTGCAATTAAATGTACATGTGGAAAGGGGATTAACTGTTCCCCTTCATATTGTGGTTTCAGTTAAAAAATAAATAAATAACAAACTTACTAATGTATGGGATAGTGTGTGGAGATGGCTTAGGCTGTCTTACAATGATCAGATTTTGTTAAAGGTAATTTTAATTGAATGATAAGATTAAAAGAATAAAAATGTATGAATTAGAAATATTTGAGAAACCCTGAATTAGAATGAAGTAGTCAAAGAAATAATTATGAAAAATCACAGTTGCTATTTCATTTTGGGATTGGATGTACAGTAATATGAATGATAGAATAAAACTAGAAGAGGACATAAAGAATGGACACAAATTCATGTGATATTGGAAATCAGGTTAGCGTGAAGAAGCAAAGAAAGAAAACATCAGGATTCACCATCCTGATTAGATGAATGCATGACATCAGCTGACCACGAGAAGGATAGCTATGCAAAATATGACTAATTTGTGTTGAAGCTTTGTTCATTTAATTTGTTGGAAAGTACATTTCTGTGATTAGATACATTTTTTATTTTACAGACAAACCTCATAATCCTATGGTGAATGCTGGAGCAATTGTGGTCACCTCTTTGATCAAGGTAAAATATGTACAGTGAATATTTCTGATCGCTGCATAGTAAATAGTTTGTGAGAAATGATGACCAGAATTAGATTCCATGCAGACATGGAAATATTCCTAAACTGCGTCTTGCAGACCATAGAAGCATGTAGTCATTATCACTTGTGTGCCTCTGAAATTGTTTTCAGTGCTTGTTTTTCAGCTGCCTGTTGCTCCCCAAATTCAAAAAGGAGTTTTGGGATACGGAGCAAGATAATATTTAAGGGGGAATGTTGCTGGTATGTTTCTATTTCTCTTTCCCCACCTCCCTCCCTTTTTCTTTACAGTTTGAAACACTTGCATAAAATCCCAAACTACTTTTGAAACTGGGTTTGGTAAAGAAAAGTTTCTTTCTCTGAAAAAATTGATATAAATGTACCTTTCGAGATTATGGAATGAAATACTATGAGGTGAAAATATATTAAACAAACTTAGGAGGTTTTTTTTAATAAAGCATGCCACTCATTTATAAAGTTATAAATTGAATCTTTTAGCAGTTTTAATATGCAGTTTAATGTTTTTGTAAACTTATTTTAAGAATGAGTTGGAGTTATGCTTCCATAGAGAAAACTTTTTTTTATTAAATAATTCATTTTATATTTCAATTTATACCTTCACCAGATACAAAGTTAAATCCCCTAGCAGTTCTTTAATATTAAATATTCTTACTTTTTGAAGTAATACATTTTTTCCTTAGAAAAATATATTTTTAAAACATTTGGCTTAATAATTAACAGTGTAAAGCTTTTAGGTATACATACATTGAATTGCAGGATTATTGTTAATCTTTGAAAATGTGTGTGTGTGTGTATTTCTTCATCACTAAGATATCTCAGAAATGACTTCTAATTAACATTTCCCTTCTCCATAATTTTGAAGTAGAAAAGTTAAAATGGAGAACTTAAATATTTGTCAACATTATAACGTTTTTTCATTTAGCCTCATAACTTTAGTTATGAAAGGCTATTTTAGTCTTGGCTCATGGTTTTCTGCTTCTTTTTTATATTGAAAAAGTGTAAAAAAATCCTGCTTTAAACATTTATCTTTAATAGCTATAGGTGAAGGAAAATGGCCTTAAGTACGACAGGTAAATTTATTCGTGTTTATTTTTTTTCTGGAGGTTTAAATAACTTAAAATTCAGCTTGACAATGAGATTTTAAAATAAGTGGTAGACAGTTCATCCCATAGCTAAGTGCATTTCTTGTTCACATAATACAGTAATCGAATATATCATCTGAAGTGCACACTTGTTTGGAAATTTATTAAAATTAATGAATTGCCAATCAAATGTATATTTCATTGGTGGGCAAAAACCCAGTATAGATTTCAGGCCATTACAATATATTGCAGATTTCCTTTCTACTGCATGTAGTCATAATAAAAAACACAGCAACAACATAACAAGTCAGTATTGATTGCATTGAAACTTTGCATGTAGTATCTGCATGTCTAGCAGACATAAACCACCATATTGCATCATTATTTGTTTATAGTGATTGTAAGACATTTTTTGTGTTCCATCTTCTGGGAAGCTATTTCATGAAAATAATCTATGAATTGGAAAATTCAAGAAATTGCAAATTAGAGTTTCTAATCACTCTCCTAAGTTGATTTAATGTCTCACTGTCATAAATTAGATCTGTTTTGAAGTATGACATTTCAACAGCCTTACAAATAAAGTTATAGAATTTAGTAGTCCATTTTCACAGGAAACACCCTTGTAAATCTTCTCTGTTTAATTAGCTGAAAGCATTTCTGTCATGTTCAGGTACCAGACAAATGGATATTTACATGCATTTTGAATCTTCAGTTGAAGATTAAATCCTAGAACTCCAGTAATTTACCTGAAAGGAAGGCAATCCTGAATTTATAACAATCCTTCCCAAAAGAGAGAATAGACTCTGTGTGCATCTCTCTCTCTAAAGCCACGCTCCAAAAAAGGTCTAGCTTAGAACAAAACAAAACAAAAAACCCCCCCTACTGATAAAATTAATTGTGTACAAAAAAGAATAGTCATTATAAAATTGACTTACTTCCATCTGTATATAGAAACCATTTCCTCTCTCACACTCAGACTGCTGTCATACATGCAAACACAAGTAAATGTATAAAGATATTCTCTTGTCTTCTTCCAGCAGAAACTGCTTTTAAAAAAGGACAGCAGAAAGAGGATGGAGATGTTGATGTTTATGGGGAAAGCATAGCTGCACTAAAGAGAAAAGTCTGTGGAGGGGGGACAGGAAAAGCGGAGAAGAAGTGAGGCTAGGTGTACCTGCACCAGAAAAGAAAGGAAAGAGAGAAGCCCTATTTAGTTGTTAGAAAAAGTTAAAATCAGTGGACAAGCAGCCTCTCTCAGACAATGGGATAAATTTTAGGCTAATCTCCAAAGGCATTAAAGTTTTTCAGCAGGGATGTCTGCTGTGATTTATATCTTCTGCTTTTCACAGTTTCTTCCATTCTTATCAATAGAACGTGCGAAAATCCCCTCAATTCACAGATTTGCAAGTTTAATAAGTAATCTACATGCTTGCTGTGTCACAAGTATAGATGAAATTCCTAGGTGTGCACAAATATAGATGTCATTTGGTACTTAATAATTCTTACCACATTAGTGTGCCGCCTTGTTTTTATTTCATGGCAACTTTCTCAATCAACTGATATTTGAAAATAGCAAAACAAGGCCAGTTTCATTCTACTCATTTTGACTTGCAATCCAAGTAGTTATACAGAGCCTTTGAACTTGAAGAGTTAAATCACACCCATCTGTCTATGATTCTTATATTTGTGATCCACAGCCCAGTTAATAGATGAAAGAGGAAAAAAAAGTCATTTTCTAGAGCATGGGTGAGAAACCTTGTGTTTTCTCAATTTTGGACTATGCTTCCATCATCTTCCATAGTGACCAAGGCTAATAGGGGATGGAGAGCCACAGGTTAACCCACCTCTGTTCTATAAGATTATTGTTGTCTATTAAAGGGGGGCCTACATGCATACACACATCTTCTCCCTTACATGTTTCTTGCTTCTATTTTGGAAAAGGGAGTTTAATAGCACTACCTGGCAGACTGCCAACCAGCTGATTGGCAGTCTTTCAGTGAGCGATATAACACTAGGGAATGACACCACTGGGATAGTGGTGTCAAGCTTCTCATTAAGGCTGCAGCATAAGCCTTCTCTTTCCAACTGCAATTTGACCCAAAATTACCAATTGCAGTTAGCATACAGAGAAGGTCCCATTGGTGCCAATATCATTGTTTCTGTTTAGGATTGTAGCTTGGACAGGCATGAAAGTCCCTCTCTTCCTATATGCTGTAGTACCAGTAAGAATTATGTTCCCTCCTTCCCCACAGACGATAGTAAATTAAAAATTAACTTGCCCTGTAACATAAGATCTAGTGTGATTTATAGATGCAGCTGTATTGAGGGTATAAGATAAAAGGCGGGAAAATAACAACAACAACAACAACGGCATGACTAGGAGGCTTGTTTGTAAATACTGTAGAGATTAGTTAAATGGGTCTTTGATTTTAATCTGGAAGTTCTTATTCTCTTAGTGTTGTGCATGCTCTGTATCATTTATTTGTTAGTTATGGTAATACATTGCGCCAGTCAGTAAAGAGTTCTAAATAACAATGTCCTTATTGACAAAGATCTCAGTAACATAGAACATGTTGGTATTTGAGTAAAAAAAAAATGTATAAGCAGCCTCACGTTCCTCATGACAGCTGTTATCAAAACAATATGAGGCAGTCCAGAGAAGATGAACACTTGTGAGGCAGTAAAAAGCACCACTCTTAAGAACTCCCGCTCAATGAAATTACAAAACAAATACTGATAATGGAATGCCATCTTAACTAACATTAAGTCCACATTACCCATAATATTACAGGATGAATATTTCCTTTGATTTGGCCTTACAATTCTATCTATAGTTGAGATTTATACATATAAATGTATTCATTCATTCATTCATTCATTCATTCAATTTGTATGGCCGCCCATCTCAACAAGTGACTCTGGCTGGCAAACAATCTTAAAATAATTTAAAAACAATTCCCATCATAAATACAAAAATTAAGATACACAGCAGCCAAGGAGGATATCACAATCAACAGTTGTTGCACAACCAGGAGACAGGACCC